CCCACTGCGCGTGCGCGTGGGGCATTGTCTGTAAAGGTCTTTTCTTGGCTTGCTCTTTTTTTGTTTTTTGTCCCCCCTGCCTGAAACCAGAGCTTTCCGTCCTCCTTCCCTGGCCTTCAGGACTGGGTGACTTCAGCTGCAAGACCTCACTCTACAGAAGCTGCACCCACCCGTGAGGGATGTGGGTGAATGTGAGGAAAGACCGTCTGGCTTTCGTGGTGATGCCTTATTTAGGCCTTTGGATTGTGAGGCACCAAATCTCAAAATGGCAAGACTGGAAAGAACACCGGAAATAACAAAAGCACCTTAGGTGTGGTAGAGGAAATGCTTTCACTGGCATTAAGTCACCCTCACAAAACCCTGTGAGGTGGGCCTTTTGGGTCATATTTATCTTAACGACAGAAAGGGAGGCAGCCTGGGAAGTGATTGCCCAGGATCACAGCCAGTTAGTGGCATTGGTTGGCCTGGCTCAAACCCCGAGTGCCCTGATGGCCTGTTCAGTTGTCTTAAAACGAGGTTAGGATTTATTTCACTGTTCAGTGTATCACCGCTGTATAGTAGTTATATTACTTTTTAAAAAAACATATTTTATTGTTTTTTTTACAGAGAGGAAGGGGGAGGGATAGAGAGTTAGAAACATCGATGAGAAAGATCCATCAGCTGCCTCCTGCACGCCCCCTATTGGGGGTGCACCCGCAACCAAGGTGCATGCCCTTCACCGGAATCGAACCTGGGACCCTTCAGTCCGCAGGCCGGCGCTCTATCCACTGAGCCAAACCGGTTCAGCTATATTACTTTTTATGAGAAAAAGTTTTTCTACCTTATAGTGTGGCCCCTAAGCGATAGATTCTAAACTTTAAAGGGGGGCAGGCATAGGAATAACAGCTAAAAAAAAAAAAAGTCAATTTAGTTCCCGGTTTCAAACACATTAATGGTGAATATTTTACCTAACAAGAAACAAACAAAAAAGAACATTTTGTATATCAAATTAAAACTTTGGCGGCTCCTTTAATGCTCAAAAGACCATCATTTGCCTGTCTCTTTGCCTCCTCTTTTGATCTTATTACCTGAGTCACCCTTCCTCTGAATACCTACCCATGTAAATCCTAATCAATGCTTCAGTGGCCAGATCACTAGATTTGTGACCTGTCCCCTAGACAGAAGGCCCCTCAAAGACAGGATCTAGTCTTAAACATTTTGTAACTTTGCACCTAGCAGAGTCCGGATCAAAGTAGGGAGTCAGATGTTTTTTAATTTTAATGGAAAGTACACCCCTCACTCCCAGGTTTTACATGCAGACTTGCCCAACTATTTAACATCTTTATTTCTCTCCCATCCTCAAGTGCTACTTTCTGTACTAAACAATTGAAGATTTAACTGTAGTGTATCTCAAACAACTGAAAAACTAAAACCTCTCTAGTACCAATAGGATATGTAGTAGAACATGAAGAGGCTACTGGACTAAAAAATAAAAAATAAAATAAGTGTGTTCTGGTCCGTGTTTGGTCCTTTTTGGCCCACTCAATAACCTTTTCGTAAGAGTCATTTGTAAAAAAAAGGCCTAACAAAGTTACCTTTCCTAGTTTTGACACAAGATTGCTATAACTACTAAATGAGATAATACGTGCAAAAGTATTTTATATGTAATATATATTTAATGCTATGCATTGTTACTATTATCTAAAGTCATTTAAAACCTACTTGGATTATTAAAATAAAAATTAGGTCACTAATACCTTTAAGCATTTGATCAAAAGCATTTAGACTTCATCGTTCTGGTTATCTCTGTGAGTGCCTGCATCAGCTGACTTACTTCACTTCACAGATTACCTTATATTTCAGGGCATATTTTATATTTATTTATTTTATACTTTTCCATTCCATGGGGACAAGGTTTCTTTTTTCAGTTTTTCGTTTGTTTGGTTTGTTGAGATAGCCCAAATATCTAAAACAACTAGACTGCATGAAACTTAAAGTATAGATATTATTATCAAGTCTATGTAGGCTAGCTAAGATGGAGGCAGGAGTTGGCAGGAAGTGGAGAGAAGTAATGAACAAAGACAACTTCCGTTGTTCCATCATCACATACAGTATCAACCTGCGGGCAGTGCCTACTGATAAAAAAGAGCAAGGGATGCTGCCTGCCCCTTGTGAAATACTTCAGATAACTTTGTGAACTACTAGTTCTCACTAGTTAAAATGTGATTAATCCAGCCGAAACCGGTTTGGCTCAGTGGATGGAGCGTCGGCCTGCGGACTGAGGGGTCCCGGGTTCGATTCCGGTCAGAGGCATGTGCCTGGGTTGCGGGCACATCCCCAGTGGGAGATGTGCAGGAGGCAGCTGATCGATGTTTCTCTCCCATCGATGTTTCTAACTATCTGTCTCTCTCCCTTCCTCTCTGTAAAAAATCAATAAAATATATTTTAAAAAAAATGTGATTAATACCGATAGAGAAATCACAGGTGTTTTGGTGTTTTGCATTTCTTTGTAGTTTTTCTATAGCTTAGATACTCTTTGAATTCACACAAATAACATGGAATACCTGGTCACCTTAAGAAACTGAAATAGAAAGTATATTTTAAGTACTATTTTCCTTTATTACTTCATTCCTAATTAAGACTTTGAATTACTCAAGATTGTATTTATTGAAGGTTAACTATTTATTGTATTACCTTTTCTTTTGAAAGAGCCCTATAGTCCATTACAAAGAAACCTAAGGTATAATGCAAAATAGATGTAGAATATAGATTTTACTTCTTAATCGTTAGTCAAAGGTTTATTTAAAAACTAGAGGCCCAGTACATGAAATTCGTGCACTGGGGTGTCCCTCAGCCTGGCCTGTGCCCTCTCCCAATACAGGAGCCCTCACTCCTTACCGCCCGCCTGCTCACTGCTCCTTACTGCTAGGCTCGCTGCTCCTTAGTGCTGCTGCAGAGGCAGGAGAGGCTCCGCCACTGCCACTGCGCTCGCCAGTCGTGAGCCCAGCTTCTGGCTGAGTGCGCCGGCCGCCCCCCCACTCCCCCTATGGGAGCACACTGACCACCAGGGGGCAACTCCTGCATTGAGCGTCTGCCCCCCCCCCCCCCCCGCGGTCATCATAGCAACAACCAGTTGTGGTCGTTCCACCATAACAGTCGCTTAGGCTTTTATTATATAGATATTGAAGCCCTAGCTGATTTGGCTCAGTGGATAGAATATTGGCCTGTGGACTTGAAGGGTCCCAGGTTCGATTCCGGTCAAGGGTACATGCCTGGGTTGCGGACTCAATCCCCAGTGGGGATTGGGGGGCGGGGTGTGCAGGAGGCAGCCGATCAATGATTTTCTCTCATCATTGATGTTTCTACCTCTCTCTCCCTCTCCCTTCTTCTCTGAAATTAATGAAAATATATTTTAAAAAAATATTGAAGGCATCACTCCTTTGTTTACAATAGCTTACCTACCTCCCTCAAAACCCAAACTGTGATCTTTACCTTTGAGAGTGTATTTGATTCTTTCATTTATATATTCTTTTTCACCCTCTTTTAGGGTTCTAAGAAAAACCTCACTGATGTGGAAAACCACTGCTGACTTGAAGCAGGTTTAATTGTGGTTGTCTTTCACCATGTTCTGGGCAGCTTGTCCACAAACCACACATGCCAAACAAGGAAGCAAAACCAACTGAAGGGTTCTCAGTCACTTTCCAATGTCCTAAAGTTGAAGGTTAACAGGAGGGAAAAAACTCACAGGAATTCATTAATAAGGGATAAACAGTTTGCTGGAGGTAAGATATCTTGTGTTTATACCTTCTTTGGAGAGTATCTTTTTGTGTGATCCTATTTGTTGTACCTTGTGGTTTGGAGCCTTGTTCTCAACTCTCTGCATTTTGGTATAATTTGGAGAGATTTAAAATATCAATGCCTGGGCC